TTCAGAAAAGAAAGTTATAAATTATTAGCTATGACCAACCTGACCCTATCGCAGGTTGGAGCCTTCGGGATTACTATTTCTTAATCATTATTTTCCAAAATTTCCCAAAGTTATTTACAAGAACAGCTTTTTGACTTCTCAAGTGCATAATAGTCACTGCGGTTTATGATTTTTCCATCTTCTCTTGAGGCGCCTGAATGCTTCTGTTTCCCTTAATGATAAAGTCATCAGATTCCTATTGGCTGGTAGCTGTGGCTCTATGAAATGAACCTACAGGTTAAACAGTAATGAAGCCTGAACAAATGTGATATTCACACATTTTAGAATACTCAAAAATGATGAATGGAAGACTTGAATATGTGGCTTCGGTTTGGGGTCACTTTTCCTACTTTTGGCTGTGCTTTCTATGAGGCATGTGTTCAAAGGAAAACTCACAAAGTTATGTTCCTTATATTAGTTGCTCTGCCCAAGAAACATTTTGCAAATATAATTTAGCAGACATGTGACATATAACAAAACCAAATTCTGGCCCTGTTGCCAACAAAGCTTGGCCAATGCTTCTTCACACAGCTGCACAATGTTTATACATAGCATACCTGATTACTCTGTCATCTACCCACAAAATACATTGCTTCTTCCACATAGGCTAGGGTTTCCAAGGCAACAGAGAGCTCGTCTAACAATGAAAGCGCACACAAGTTGATTTCCATTTCTACATGCCAAACTCTAACCACCTTCTCTGGCTACAGGACTTCTATTTCCCACCAGGAAGGCCAAGCTGAGAATGAAGTACTAATAGTAGAAGAACTTTTTAAATGTCTCAGCATAGTTGAGTGCTATCAAGAAGAAACTTTTTCTTGGCAGACTTTAGAGAAAGATTGATGAGGATCATTTGGGTAGAGGGTTCAGTATAGAGAAGATACGTTACGTTAACCCTGAAGGACTCCAGGAATGTTGGGGGAGAGAAGATCCACCTTTCCTCTACTACTGAAATCCCTTGGGGAACTAAGTCCCCAGTTTTCATTATGTGGGCAAGTTTATTGAAAATGATCTCTACTTCTCATTTTCCATCCTTTGCAGAATCCATTGCAGTCTGCATTCTTGTCTTAGAACCGCCCTAGCAAGGCCACCCAAGTCTTTCTAAATCCAGTGCTCACTTGGCCATCCTCATACTTTATTGATTATCCTTCCATCCTGTCTCTCCCTTCTCCCTTTTCCAATTATACTTACTGAGTTCTCTTCCAACACAAAGTTCCCTCTCATTCTCCTTTGCAGGCTCCTCTTCTTCAGCTAATACTTTAGCTATGATTCTCTCCTCATTCATGTTTTATTCTCATTCCACATATCTCTCTAGGCAATGGGTGCTAAATCTACTTGCACACTGGAATCACTTGAGGCTCTTATAACAGTTTCAAAGCCCAGACCACAGTGCAGCCCGGTCTCTGAAGATGCAACACAGACATCAGTATATTGTGAGATGCTCCCAGGAGATTTCAGTGTGCATACAAGTTTGGGAAACCACTACCCAAGAGTGTTCCCTTTCCTTCTAACTAACTCCAGACTAGCTGGCACCTAATGTGCTAGACTTGTACCTTGTTCAGGATTAATCATGTTTGTGATATATGCTCAGTTACTTCTTGAAATTCTTCAATTGTATCTCATTATTTCAGTATAAAATAAAAAAGTGTTACCATTCAAAGCTTCCATGGTCTGGGCTGTTCTTACGTATAAGCTCCATCTCACACCTTTGCCTAGTGCTGCTTGAAGCCCTCAGGCACATTCCTGCCCCTCTGCCTGGAACTGCCCCCTTCACCTGCCTGATTGCAACTTGTCCTTTAACACTCAGCAGGGACATTTCTCTAGCACCTCCTCCTCTCACAACATGGAGTGTTTTGTTGATCTTAGCTCTTATCACACTTATGTCTCCATATTGGTTTATCTTGTAGTAGAAAGAATTTATTTGAGGGCAGAGTATTTGCTTTTTATATCTCTACTCAGTGAAGAGTACCTTGACTGTAATATATGTTCAGTGTGAGATGAATAAATGAATTAAAGAAATATGATGGCTGGAAATTTTTGCATTGAAGCTGTGTGTTCATAAAGGGTTTGATCAGATTTACTTCTTCAAGGAGAGAGGGAGGCAGAGAGCCACAGAGCTTTCCTACAAGTGCCAGGGCATTCTTCCCTTCCTCGTGCTCCCTCCTCATTCTCTGGCAAGTAGAGCTTCTGGAAACACAATCCAGGAGGTGAGACTGACCTTCATGATCCTTGGAAATCACCCTGGACATTGTTTTTAGCAACTGAAAATTCAGCAAGAGTAGTCATACCATCAGGAAGTGGTTCCAAGAGCTGGACATTATGAGCAACACCTGCTAGCAAGAGTCTTGGACAACTTTTGGGTCAGTAGAGGACAAGGGGGCATATCCATGGCATGAAAATCCTGAGGTCACTTACCAGACAGATGGAAGTTGTCTTTAAAAAATTCATTCTGAGTAAGACTAGAAGTGAACTGTTTCTACAACTATGCAGTTCTGTTAAGTCAATCTTGAGATCATTCTTTGAAAACTGAGATGAAAGCTAAAACTTAAAAAATATTGTAGGCCGGGTGTGGCTCATGCCTGTAATCCTAGCACTCTGGGAGGCCAAGGTGGGCGGATTGCTCAAGGTCAGGAGTTCGAAACCAGCCTGAGCGAGACCCCCCTCTCTACTAAAAAAATAGAAAGAAATTAATTGACCAACTAAAAATATATATACAAAAAATTAGCCAGGCATGGTGGCACATGCCTGTATTCCCAGCTACTCAGGAGGCTGAGGCAGTAGGATTGCTTGAGCCCAGGATTTTGAGGTTGCTGTGAGCTAGGCTGATGCCACGACACTCACTCTAGCCTGGGCAACATGTCTCAAAAAAAATATCGTAGGTGAATTTTTTCCTCTTTTACATATTGTATTTTGGAACCACAAAAGAAGAAACTTTAATAGAAATACTCATAATTAAAATTTGCACTTAATGATACCAATGGCAAGGCACAAAAGATAGGAGACATGGAATAACGAGTGCCTCCCCCATTTGTATTTTGAAAGCCTCTTTTGTTTTTTATATAACTCCCATTTCCTGGGAAGTCCTGAGCATTACAAAACAGAATATTGAGTATAAAAAATTGAAGTGTAAGTCACTTTCTCACAGTTATCTAGTAAAAATAAATAGCTATAAACAAAGAATGGGAGAGAATAACCTGATTTTCTAAATGTCTAGCTATTCTGTGATCCAAACACCGTTTTCCAGATTTGACTTTTGCATGTTGTTCACCAAGAAACACTGTAGCCATCCCTGATAACATGGGTTCTCCCAAGCCCTCCGTGTTAGCTAACCAGCTTCAGATGGGCTGCCAGTTACAGTCTGTGCTGTTTTTCTAAGCCTTTTCCTATTGTCAGTGGTAGAAAGTGATAAGTATATAACAATCTTAGTCTTATTAAATTAATTACATGCCCAAAAAGACAGGGCTTACTAACACAACAGAGTCAGCCATTGGAAACGCTGTGTGCAAGTAACACACACTGTGGTTTGAGCTGGCTTCACCCAGAGCGCTGCCCTGACAGGGGCCTTGCACTTGTTTTGATGCTCTAATGCTGCCATATGGAAATTCTTGATGTTTGAACAAGGCTCTCCAAATTTTCATTTTGCACTGGGTCCTGCAAACTGTGTAGCTAGTCCTCAGGTAAATCCTCACTAAGCATTTTCTCATGGATGAAATGTGTCTAAAATCAATAACAAGTTGCGGGCCTGGTGGCTCATGCCTGTAATCCTAGCACTCTGGGAGGCCGAGGTGGGAGGATCTCTTGAGCTCAGAAGTTCGAGACCAGCCTGAGCAAGATTGTGAGACCCCATCTCTACTAAAAATAGAAACATTGGCTGAGTGTAGTGACATACACCTGTAGTCCCAGATACTTGGGAGGCTGTGGCAAGAGGGTCACTTGAGCCCAGGAGTTTGAGTTGCAGTGAGCTACGATGGTGCCACTGCACTGCCCAGGGCTACAGAGTGAGACTCACTCTCCAAAAAATAAAAATAAATAAATAGAATATTACAGGAAAAAGAAGCTGTGGACAGCAGCCTGTTGCTATGGGGATGACGGTTGACTAGAAGGAGAGACAGCCCCTCTACCTTAGGTCTTGGAATTCTTTACAGACTATTGTAGATGCAGACGAGTCTCTGGCATTTTTGCCATGATATCATAGCATCCTTTCTTGCTTTCTGCATGCTGCCTTCTCGCCTAGCAGGACCACTCCATAGGACTCCCGGGGATTATTCCTGTTTTCACGAGAATGGTTATTTCTTAGGGAAAGTTTTCTAACTCCAGACAGTACAAACTTCATCAAAAGCTTCAGCCAAGTGAATGCATGCTTGAGGCTCACATATGCAGAAATAAATCATCCCTTTGCAGAGTCAGGTCAGAACTATGATGCTATGGCTCAGGGCGACTAAGCCAATTGCTGATGTCAAGGTACACTGATAGACTGGCAGAGTTGATGGATGAGCTGGACAAATACTTATCTCACTTTTACTATATCCTTCTCAAAAATGTTTAAGCTAGTTCACCAGAGGATAATTAGAGTTCTGCCATGAATTCATTAGTACACTATACTTACAATTACCTTTTTTCTGGATTTGTACCTATTTGGTAGACATAGAGATGCAATTGGAATATGGATCTTTAGACGATATAGCAAAGAAAGAGATATGAGCTTTTTGCAGTTGAGACATTCACTGAATTTTAATTGAGACTGAGATAGAAGTAGTTAAGATAATAGACATGAAACCATTGTTTTGGCTAGAGATTGTTTCAGCTCAAATGGATGCAAGAATGGAAGGCATGCTATGTGTAATAGCATATACAATCATCCTTTTTTCAAGTGATGTGTGAAACTAGTGTAAGCTTCGGAATATATTAATAAGCAAGTTTAAAACTCGATATTTTCAAAATCACCTTTCTTTTGCTCTGAGTCCCATCAGGTTGATGTCCCAGGAGACACACGACCCAGCTGCCTGCAGAAGCTCAGCAATCCCTAAGGACTTGTTGGAAATGGTTACCATGAGACTTTCCTTCTTCACACACAACAAAGAAAAAAAAATTAGAGTGGGGTAATGGTGACCACTATTACTTAGTAACAAAATAAAGCAACCTTTAGTACTTTGTTTTAAAAAATTTATTTTAAATGAAAATAACCAAAGCATATTTGTTAAATATGAGGAATGAGTAATGTAGACACCCAGAGTTCTCAAGAAAGGAAAGGGGAAATGTCCACAAATTTTGCCTAATGGTAAACATCACCCAAAATGCTTGTGAAAAAGGCACATTCTCATGTCCCACTCAGAAAATGGGGAGATTCTGCCAAAAGGACTAAGGGTCCATAATATTATAAAGGTACCACTGCTGTGATTCCTATGGTCAGGCAAGTGTGGGTAAAGCTGCCTTAGGCAGCGGTTCTCAGTGAAGCCACTGGAGGTGGTCAGTCATAGCTGAAGGGCTCCTTAAAACTGGGTCCCTCTTTTAACACAGTTTCTTATTCAGGCATTTGGAGAGTGGCTGGAGGGTTTGCATTTCTAGCAAGTCCCCAGGTGGTGCAAGAGCCACACATTGAGAACCTCTGGTTTTTAGAGCATATTGTGATGTCTGCTGTTGTGATCTGCAAGCCTCAGGTGGCCTTGTGCCTAGGAGGCATGTGACGCCTCCCGGGTCCTGCTGCTGTCTGTCCCAGATCCTTCAGAACCTTCCTTAAGAAAAGATTGCAGTGCTGTTTATAGGACCGATCCCAGCCTGGGACCTGAAATCAGGATGTCCTATAGGATAAAGATACCCCCAGGAAAAGTGCCAGCTCTTGCCTGAACCCTGGAACACCCCCCAAAAGATGGGTATTTAAAGGACAAGGTCTAGCTGACCATCACTCTTGGTTGCAGACAGAGGGGGAGGAGGGAGGCCACAGTCCCAAAAGACCTGGAGGGCCTCAGAAGCTCTTAGATTCAGAGTCTAGAGAAGCCTAGATTGCAGGCAGCATCACCCACACTTCTTTTTTTTTTTTCCAGAATGGGGTTGAGAGGAGTATGAGAAATATATTTCCTGGTCTGAATAAGATTTTTTTCCACAGAGGAGGTAGTTAGAAAAGAAGATACAAAATGGGCATTTCTTTTTGGATATGTCTCCTTAAAGGAAGTCAGCAGATCTTGCACAGGTAAGAGGTGTGTGTGTGTGTGTGTGTGTGTGTGTGTGTGCGCGCGTGCGCGCGCGCACGTGCGTGTACATAGGCAGGAAGTGTGGTATGTGCTTTCTCATGTATGAGGATGGCACAGTGATGTCAACCTTACTGGCCAAGCCAGACTCTAGCAGCCTTTGGCTACATCTTTCTTCTAAGCCTTCTCTTTCATCCACAATTAAGTTTCCCATAGATGTCTTGTTCTGATTTAGATTGCTTTTATCTGAGAACTTCTCTATCCTCGCCACTACCCACAGGTGCAGGAACCTCACCCTCTCTCCAGGTTGCTACTGTGCACCCTGCCCTGGCGGAGCACAAGTTTTAATCCTCAAATAATACTGTAAGTGGTGTTCAAACAAAAATCAGAAGGCCTGTGGCGTATTTAAGAATCCTAAACATTAGATTAACTTTTAGGTTATGAAGTTTCCAGTCTACCTACCAAAGATTTGATTTCAATAGCTGTGAACGTGCTTCCAAGGGGAAAGCATAAAAAGCCTGAAAGCAGTCCAATAAATATTTTGCTTAGGCATCATTTTTGTCCTATGGTTATTCTGGAAGCCAAGCAGATGTTTATTGTACAAATATAGAACGACCTGCGTAACTCCCTTGCAGCTCTCTGAGTCCTTAGTAAAGTGACAACACGGAAGAGAAGGCAGCAGCACACATAAAGTCAATCATAAGAAGGAGAAAAAGGCACGGAAATGCTCCATCTATAGTCATTTGCTAGCAACAAATTATCTTAGCTTTTCTTCATCTGAGAATATTTTTCTTTCTCCTTCATTCCTGAAGGATATTTTCACCAGATATATTACTTGCAGCTGACAGTTCTTTTCTTTCAGTATTTGAAAACTGCTGTGCCACTTCCTTTTGGCCTCTACAGTTTCTGATGAGAGATTCACTGTCATTTGAATTGCTGTCCTATGAATAATGTGTCATTTCTTCATGGTTGCTTTCAAGATTTTTAATTTGTCTTTAGTTTGAGGAAGTTTAATTATGATGTTTCTTGGCATGTATTATATTTCTTTGGGTTTATGCTTTTTAAGATTTTCTAAGTTTCTTGAATGTATAGGTTTAATATCTTTCACCAAATGGGGGAATTTTTAGCCATTCTTTTTTGAATATTTTTTTCAGCCTCAATCTCTTTCTCTTCTCTTGATGGGACTTTGATAAGACCGGAATCAGCTGTTACTGTCCCACTGGTCCCTGAAACCCTATTCATTTTTATTTAATCTTTTTCTCTCTGTTGTTCAGATTGGGTGAAGTCTATTGCACTGCCTTCAAATTTACTGATTTTATTCTCTGTCATCTCCACACTGCTATGAGCTCATCTATAATTTTTTTAATTTCATTTCAGTTATTACATTTTTCAGTTCTATAATCTACATTTGGTTACATTTTATAATTTCAATTTTTTTACAGAGATTTTCTATCTTTGTATTTGTTTCAAAAGAATGTGTAATTGTTTGTTGACACATTCTTATGACAGCTGCCTTAAAAGCCTTATCATCTAACTTCAATGTCTGGTTCCTCTCGGTGTTAGTGTGTGTTGATTGCCTTTTCTCATCATGCTGTGATTTCCCTTGTTCTTGGTATGACAGGTGAATTTCCATTGTATCCTAGACATTTTGGATATTGTTTTATAATTCTCTGGATCTTACTTTTTTTTTTTTTTTTTTGAGACAGAGTCTAGCTTTCTTGCCTAGGCTAGAGTGAGTGCCGTGGGCGTCAGCTAGCTCACAGCAACTCAAACTCCTGGGCTCCAAGCCATCCTCTGCCTCAGCTCCCAAGTAGCTGGGACTACAGGCCAAGCCACCATGCCCGGCTGATTTTATATATATATATATTAGTTGGCCAATAATCTCCCTATTTTATGGTAGGAGACAGGTCGCTCCAGGCTGGTTTTGAACTCCGCGACCTGAGGCAATCCACCCGCCTCGGCCCCCAGAGTGCTAGGATTACGGCGTGAGGCACACCAGCGCCGCACGGGGGAAAAACTGGATGCTACGTTAATGCTTTCAGGCAGGCACTACCGTTGTTGAGTTAAAGCCCGTGGGCCAAGTAGATGTGTATGTTCAGCGTTCTGGGGGGGCCTCACTGGCACCACCCTGCAAAAGTGGGGAACATACGTTGCCTAATTGCCAATAAGTGGAGTGAGAGTTTAGCTTCCTCTTTGACCCCTCTGATACCAGAGGAGGGAAACGGGAAGCAGCAGAGTGGCAACCAGCCCCACTCCTGCCTCAAGGCCAGGTGGGGGTGAGGCTCAGCTCCCCACTGGCCCTGCTGGACACAAGGTGGGCAGGGTAGAGAGGCAGTCAGACTAGCCCTCACTTAGACAACCTTGTTTCATCTCCTTGGGGCTCAACTTGCTTATGGATCCCACGGACACTAACCTGGTGGGAAAATCAGAACATTGCCTGTTTCTGCCAGGAGAGGGATAGAACTGCTGTCTCCTGCAGAGGTACTTCCCCAGCAGGGAAATTAGGTTGCTGTTACCTGTTATCACTGGGGCACATGGAAGATCAGCTCCCAGGTCAGCCTCACTGACACCACCAAGTGGGGGGATTGGAATGTCCCACCCAGTTCCGCAGACGTGGGATATATGTGGCAGATTCGCGTCTTCCTAGGGTCTGCCAAACAGAGCGGTGGCCTTCCATTGGTGTTTGGCTGGAGTAGGGTGAGTGTGTTAGTATGCTTGGCTGCTGTAAGAAAACACCACAGATCACATGGCTCAAACCATAGATAGTAACTTGCTCACTGTTCTGGGGACTGGATAGTGCAAGATCAAGATTCAGGCAGGGTTCAGTGTAAATGGCTGCTTTCCACTGAGTCCTCACATGACCTTTCTTTGCACACACAGAGAGAGAGGCCATGTGAGAGCACAGTGAGAAGGTGATCATCCACAAGCCAAGAAGAGAGCCCTCACCAGAAACCACATCCTATCTGAACCCTGATCTTGGATTATCCAACCTCCATAACAGTGAGAAAACTAATTTGTTGTTTAAACCATGAGATCTGTAGTATTTTGTTATGACAGCCTGAGCAAAATAATATAGATTTTGCTACTATGGAGTTGGGTGCTGCTGTACTAAATACCTAAAAACGTGGAATCAGCTTTGGAACTTGGTAATGAATAGAGGGTGGAACAGTTTTGAGGTGTATACTAAAAAAAGCCTAGATTGCCATGAAGGTACAGTTAGTAGAAATTATGGTAATTCTGGTGAGAGCTTAGAAAGAAAAGAGAAAAGCTAGAGAGAAACCCTACATCTTAGAGAATACATAAATAATCATGAACATACTATTGGTAGAAATATGAACATTAAAGCAATTTTGGTGAGGGTTCAGATGGAAATGAATAAAAAGTTACAAGAAACTGGAGGAAAGAAGATCCTCATCACAGAATGGCGAAGAACTTCACTGAATTGTGTTCTGCTGTTTTGTGGAAGGTACATGTAAGCAATAAACTTGTGCGTTAAGCAGAGGAGATTTTTAAGCAAAGTATTGAAGGTATGATTTGGGTCCTTCTAACTGCTTATAGTAAAATGCCAGGAGAGGGAGATGAATTGAAGAAAGCATTGTTAAGCAAAAAAGAACCAGAACTTAAAGATTTGGAACATTCTCAGACTGTCCATATTGCAAAAATGAGAAAGTGTGCTCTGAAGACAACACTAAGGATGAGGCTAGACTATTACCCGATAAAGAGACTATGATATTAGATGAGCAGAAACACTATAAGTTTGAACTAAAAGGAATGGGCATGTGATGCTGCCAGACTTTTTGGATTCTACAGGATGAGACCACGAGAGCTATTTGGCCACAAACATGCACCATCCTTCAAAGAAAGGCAAGAATGACCCTGAGGACAATTCAGAGATCATCAGGGCTGCCACTCTGGCCACAGGCCACCACAGGTAGAGCAAGGCTATGTCTGTCTTGATTTCAAAGGGTGGCACCGCCATCATGATTTCAGCAGGCTGCTGTCCCCCTGAGCTGCATAGGCTGGGCCTTCCCAACTCCTATTGCCAAAAAGGATTTTGGTTGTTAGACCACCCACTTCCCAGTCCTTTGGCTCTGGGAAGGTGCTTTTCCTGGAGCTTTTGTGTGTGTGCTGTTGGTGGTTCTGGGCTGGAGGTTCTGCAGTGCTCTGTTGGGGATCTATGGAAGGTCCTAAGAAACCCAGAAGATTCAATGCCACATTGTCCTTCAAGTACCAATGACCCAGGCAGCCTGCTTTCTTTGTTCTGCCTTTGAAGACTTCTCTGCCTGCTGTTGTGTTATATACAGGTTTTTTAGTTTTTTGAAGGAGCTTCTGGGAGGAATGGGCTACTCCATCTTGGCAGAAGCAGAAGTTTGTATCGTCTTTGGAAGGTCAAAAAATGTACTAAGGTGGTAGGTTGTAGGAAATTGATTACAGATAGAGAGAAATTTCAAGCATGCATGTGTGTCTTTTTTGAGTGTATCTTCCATTTCTGTAATTTGGTTATTTGCTGACATTTCACAGTAATTATCTTTGATTATTACCTCTCTCTTCAGTGGTTGTTGTTGCTGAAAGATTTTTTTGACTATAACTCCGAGTTTCAATGTCTTCGTCAACTTATTTTATCTGAACTAGTTAGAAAGTGGAACAGAAAATGAAGGCAAGTAGCCAATAAGACTTACTATTCTTTATCCATTGCTCTCTAACAATGTTTTCAACAAATAATCATGAGGGAAGACAGAAAATTGTATCTCTGTGAGGATGATATTTTTGAATAATCTATTTAATGTTCAAAGTGTTATCTTGACAGCTGAAATAGAATTTCATCATTCAGATGATAATCACAGAGCCCAGTAAAATTTGGGGGATGCTACCTGAGATTTCAGAGAAGTTTCTCTCTGTGCCAGCTGGGAATGTTAGCTGCATTAGGGTCCCATGCAAAGCAGATCTCAGAAGAATACTGGCTGGAAAGGATATCTGAAATTTCATTCTGTACTCATTGGGGGCCGACAGATGAGACCCTAAGGCTAACATGAAAGAAAAAATATTTCTGTAATTTTCATAATTATTTTCTTTTTTACTTTAGGAGTGAGCTATCTCATTTTAAAATGAATACCTTATATTCTTAGGTTTCCATATTTAAAAAGTCTTGAATGACATCAAATTTTATTTGGAAGAGAGAGCTTTCTTTCCGCTTTTGTGATAGAGACATGTCTGTTTTAGCATATCATGAGATTAAAATAGACCACTATAGACACCACACATTAGCTCCTATTAGGACAAAAACATGCCATTTGATATTTGCTTCCCTGTGATGCTGGCATGGAAAAGCTTCCAGGCGGTGAGGCTAAAGGCCTCCCACGCTGGGGGTAATGGCTATTCACGGTTGGATCAGCTTGTCATTAGTGGTCATCTATGAGAATGTGTCTGTAAATCGGTAGATTTATGAGAAAATTGGCTTGCAAATATGATCGGGCAGTAAGAGCATGTGCAGTTTTCTGTGAAATGAATGTGACAAAAGAGGACGTGGCTGAGAAGGTCTCTCGGCAGCCTCCCCACGGCCCAGCTCCTCGCCACCCTCGGGCCTCTCCCACCCTCGTCTCACTCGGAGAGGCTGAGAACCCACATGCATTTTATGGGAACATTTCCTTGTTTTTTCAGGGATTGAGGGAGATGACACATTAATATAGTTTCAATTCTAATAAAATTCCAACTGTTTTTGTCACCCCAATATAAAAACACAGCAAATGGACTCTAGTTACAAATGCTGTTGCTGCATGTCACCAGAGACTTGTTTGTCTGATTCAAACATAAAGAGAAAGCACAGGGCAGTGGCTGCACGTATGGGCCCAGGAGGCCCACGGGCTGAGTCTGACTCCCAAGCCTGCTGTCCCCAGCCCTGTGTGACCTCAGGCAACTATGGACCCTCATTTGAAACGGATGTTCCTACCAGAGAGGCAGAGGTGTCCCCTCTGGCCGCAGGGCCAATCACGAGGGCACTTTAAAGAATGCAGGTGCCCGGCTCTCTTCCCGAGATGGGGGTTTTCTTGCTGTGGGTGGCCTAGGCACCAGCCTGTTGCGCTCTCCCCATCTACAAGGGACTCTCAGTGCGACTGCATTCGAGAACTGTGTGAACACAGCCACTCCTCGGTCCACAGAGGGCAGCGTCAGTATCACCGGAGAACTTGCCAGAAAAGCCAACTCTCAGGCTCCACCCAGAGCTACTGAATCAGAACCTGCATTTCAATACACGCCTCCTCACCCTCGCCAGAGATTTCCATGCTTGTTGAATTTTGGGAAGCCTTGGTCTAAGGGTCAGCATAAGGATTAAATAAGGGAATTCATCGAAGTGGCTTAGAACAGCGCCCAGCACTGGGGGAACCCTGAGTAAAAGTCAGCTGTTCCATGCTCAGCGCCTCCTCTATCATTTATTTCATTGGCGAGTTCTAAGAATCTCTTTTAAACTGTCTTCACCAATAGCCATAGAACCTTTAGACAGCTGCTGTAGTTGGGCCACTTTCCTGCCCATGGTGCCTGGGGCAGTGTCTGGAATAGAGACAGGTGAACGGTAAGTATCTGGCGGACAGATAGGAGTTCACACAGCCTTGGGGACTTTGCGCTGGGGCTGGGGACTGTTTTCTAGCACTGGTTCTGCCATTCATGGTCTGTGGGGCCCGCACCAAGCCATTCTAGCTTCAAGTCTCATTTTCGTGGGGGTGGGCACATCGTTTCCAAGTCCCCCTCCAGGTTTAACCGTAAGTGATTTGATTATACGTGTATACGTGACTGTGCTTTTTTATGGGCAGGGCTCTTATTTATTTGTTTTGCTATTGCATATGGAACAAATGGATTTTTCTGACTTTTCCTTTTTATTCCTGGTGGGGACAGGGTCTTACTCTATTGCCCAGGCTAGAGTGATGTGGCGTCATCCTAGCTCACAGCAACCTCAAACTCCTGGGCTGAAGTAATTCTTCTGCCTCAGTCCCCCGAGTAGCTGGGACTACAGGTGTATGCCACCACCTTGGCTAATTTTTCTATTTTTTGAAGAGACTGGGTCTCGCCCTTGCTCAGGCTGGTCTCGAACTCCTGGCCTCAAGCAATCCACCCACTTTAGTCTCCCAAAGTGCTGGGATTACAGGCATGAAACACTGTATCCGGCTGAATTTTCTAACATTTTTAATTGAGTAGGAGGATATGAGGAAGGTGCAGTTTGGCTGATGCTTTGCAAATCCAATGCACCTGACAATATAGAGTAGCTTTTGACCGTCACTGCATAAGAGAGTCACATAGAACCTTAAAAATACTGGTGTCAAGCCTGACCTTTAAAAAATTTCTGATTTAATTTATCACACAAAGGACCCTGGGACAGATTTTTTTAGAAGCTCCCTAGTCGATTCTAAAGGGCAGCCATGTCTGGGAACCCTGCTGGAGATGATGCCTAATCCCGCATAGTTTTACAACAATGTTACTCATCTTTTTATGTTCATAAGTGTATTTAGAGCCGCGTTGAGACATGGTACCTGGAGTAAAGTGAAGGCCTGTGGTAGGACGTTCTGCTTTTCAATTCTACAGTGGGAGCTTTTCCTCTTCTGCATATCTGCCTGTTATGGCATCCCCACGACTTTGAGATAAGCCTGTGTCCCTGAGAGAATCCCAGTGCTGTTATTAATTATGTTTACAAATCTGGCAAATTGGGGAGCTAAATATGTATGTATGAACATATATGTACACACATGTATGTGTATGAAATATATGTTTACGCATTTGTTTGAAATTATAGCTCAGTTTCTGTTTTAAATGAAGGCATCCTATGTCTATAATAACCTTTTCTGATTTCATATCGTAGGTATTTTTGTATCCATAGCTACAGAAACATGATCTACTTATTTTTAGTGTTATGAATATTTTTTTTCTAAGAGAAACCAAAGGGAAGTCAAATCGCTCTATGTCCTTATATTAGGCCATTAAAATAGCATTCTTATTTTATTTTCATCTTTGGAACCCCACATCTAAACTCAGTAAACTGAACGATGTATTGATTCAAACATATTAATATGAAGGTGGTATTTGAGTTTGTCAACTGAATGAATATTTTGGATGCTTTGTTTCTACTTTTTTCCTCTCTCTTTCTAAGGAAATAAATGTAGAAACACACTTGGTTTCTATGTAGTAATGTGTGTTCATGCCAAAAGATCACTGGACATTTGCATTAAGACCCGGCATCCCAAAAGATGAAGTGTAGTATTTTGTCTTTTTTCTAACAGAACATAAATCATGTGTTGATGTTTTGCCTAACAGTTTATGATCCCAAGAGTAAGAGATATATTTCTAGGTAATTATTTGCAATATAGTTTGTTCCATGCAGGAAAAGAGAGGGGACTTGAAGTCACAGCCATTTTTCACTGCCATGTATGATTATATTACATGATTTGCATTTTCTATTCTTGTTGGAAATAAAATGATTCCCTATTAGGACTGGAGGCAGATGGATTTGAATAAACCAGTTCCCTGGAAAAGGGTAGGATAGTAAGAGAGAGTCTGACTTAGGCCAGAGGAGTCTAGCAGTATGTTTGTATGGAACTGGACGTGGTGGCATGCAGCACCTGGCCTGGGTCAGTGCAGGTAAACCCCTAAGCTAACCAGCCAGGGGTTTTTCCTGATTGCTGAGTACAAGGAGTGGTCAGGGACTAGGCAGGAATCACCTTGGGGGTGTCCGGCCATAGCAGACTGGCCATTCGTGGGAAGTCGGGCCTGGAGGTAGCACGCAGACCTGGGGCAGGTGATGTGCTGTCAAACTGAGTAGCCAAAGCAAGTCAGCAGGTGAGGACAAAAGGCATTGCCTTGGGGTGACAAAGAAAATCCTGAAGGCTCAACCAAACATTTCCTCAGTCCATAGCAAGACCCTTCTGGCAGAGGCTGGGGCTGACACCATATGTGGCCTCTTTTAAAAACTAACACTGTTTCTAAATCCATTAGACACTTTCCCCAGAAGAATCATAGGCATCTATCTAAGAAGGAGCAACTTCAAAAGAGCCAGGTCTTCAGATTTCAGAATGATGACGAGGACACTGACAAGCCGTATGAGCTGGGGGTGGGGGGTGGGGGTAGGGGGGTGGGGGTGGGGTGGTGTGGGGGGTGGAGTGGTCCGTGCGTGTGCACTTTGGCTTTGCCGTCTGCCTCAGGCCACAGCAGAATTGTGTCCTTTGCAGTCAAAGGGTAGAATTTCGAATACATAAAGCAAATAAATATATCACTGTTGGCTGATTTTAATTTTTTTATTTAATCACTAATATAAGCAAAGAAGATTCCCAGAATGCTGATCCTCTTTCCTTTTCCAAGGTCTCATTTTTAGAGATGCTTAGAAATCATTGTTTTCTTTATTCATGTGCTCTCGAATTGTTGGTCTCATAATACTTTCTGAAAATTTTCTGGAGAACGAGAGAGACTTCAAGCTGTGGTCTTGTGTTTTCCAGATTCAACTTTTTGTGAGATTCTTCCTCTTTGCCATAATCTTTTAAAAGTTACAAAATCATTTTTCATGAACTCATTAACTTAACTTTTAAATTTGGTAGGTGTGTTTGGTTGGGTCTTGGTGATTTGACCAAGGTAGTGACATTTGATTACATCCCACCCTATTTTGAATTTCATTTCCCCTTAACAATGTCTGTTTCCAGTTTTATTATTAAGAAAATGAAATCAAAATACAACTTAACTGTAAGACATTTCTGGCATTCACAGGAGATTAACGTGAATACTTTTTAAACTCTGGATAAGTAATTACAAAAATATTTTACATATTTCTAGCTTTCTCTACACTCACATTTATTTGATGAGCACGTTTGATGCCACTTGGAATTTTCCTAACCCCCAGCGATCTAGAGCAGTTCACTCAGAACACTGTCATCGTCATGGCTATGGAAATTCAAAATCCTCCCTTTAGCTTTCTGCAAATATTAAAAGTTTACTTTTCATGGACTTCCTTTTCATGGCCTTCTGTCTTTCGGCTGCATTTGAATCCAAATACTCAAACTTTGACTGAAAGAATTCATTTACATAAACCGTTTGGGAGCAGTGTAGACTATCCTGA